TGCCAGGTTTTCCGTTGGTTACACCCCGAAATACGTCGAGTAGATTCTTTGTTGAATGGTCTGTTTCTGTTGCACCTCATAACGGTGCATGATTTGTGCTGCTTTTCTTTGCATGGGGATAAGCCGACATCATCAGCCTTGAGTGCCATATTTATAGGGGCATTAGCAGACTGAGAGTCGGGAACAGATTAAAACTTCCTGTTTCTTTTCAGCATGTGATGCAATAGGTTATTTACCACCGATGGTGAGAAAGGTATGATCTTGATGCGAGTCGAGTATCTTTCGACTGCTAGTCAGATACTCGGCCGAAAGAGCTGTAGTGCATAATGTTTGTATTCGTTGGAATAACTTTCTCTCTTATGCTACTGAACCCAATTAGCCGGATCCCGGAACCTATTCTTCCTAACCTGCAGTTTACCTTGCAGTTAGTCCGAGGTTGCTCAGTCGGTAGAACGTTGGATTTTGACTAACAGATCCCGGGTTCGAGTCCTGGTAGGGTAACTCGATTTTCGTCTTTTGCGGTTGATAAATAAGTAGCATTCTGTTTAAAGGAAACATGAGACCACAAGCTACGCTTATCAAGTAATTGATGCCGTCTCTGCCTTTAAAATAAGGCATTCCTGGTTGATAACATGGAAAAGAAGATCGGCGCCCCCACTATCAACTTTATGAAAAGGTGCCAGAAATGGCTTCATAATGAAAGTGTAAAAATTTCCAACGTTCCAACGGTTGCAATATTTTTTAAATTTTTTCCCCGTTTGAAGTTTGAAAGACGCGTTTGATGTTTTTCACATTATCTCCAGAAGATACCAGTGACTACGAGCGACCATGACTTTAGTATCATCTCGCCGCAGCTGGGCTTGCCCATAAAACATCCGCTTCGAACGTTGTCAGATGTTATCCTGTTTTTCCTTACTGTCCTCAGCGTAAGTTTGTTGTATCGTCATCTGACACTAAATAATTTTTTAACAGCACAGTTGCCCTGATCGATGATAGCTTTCTCAAAAGTTTTGGCTCTGCGTATTGTGCCCACGCATTTATATGAACAATTCAGCGCATAGGCGTTATAAGCGAGGTGCGGCGGAGAAAATCGAAACTCAACCTCTTGTCACTCTCAGCCATAGTACATCATAGATCCCGAAAGCTTTCAAAATGGATCTTTCTCATTTTTGTGGTTATTATCATACAAAAAGGATGCTGGCCTTTCCAAACGGTGAAATGGCTGTTGAAGTCTCTTACTCTGCGGAATGACTAGCAGTTCGTGTACCGTTGTGTGTTTTTTGAATACTTCCTTCATGCGTTAATAGTCGTACTGTTCGTCACTAGTTTGACCTCGGCACTTGTTTGGCCGGTAATGGAGAACGACGGAAGGTCGGGACGGCTTACTGGGGCGGAGAATAGTAGCATGTGTTTCCTTTACTTGCAGCGATAGCTTTAAAGACCTATCATGACCCCTTAAATTGTCGGTTAATGAGTTGGTGACACTCAGAAGTCGATAGAGTTGTTTGTGTTTTTATGGCAGTTTTGTCTAGGAGAATAACAAACTGACTGATATTTTAGCGGAAGGTTGATAGAGGTCATTTTCCTTATTGATTTTCGTAGTCATTTCATGATATTGTATATCGTTTGAACAGCAGATGATGATGATTCATGGACTAGACCGAAGGGTAGTCCTGGCAAGTTCGACTCGGTGAATTATAGCAGGGTATGGAAAACAGTAAACGTCGTTTATGCAACTTGGATCGTCAGAGCCTAGGTAATTCGACTGATGATGCTGGTAATTGATAATATGTACTCTTTTAGATCTGTTTATAACCAGAGTCATTTCGCCTGCAAAACCGATGATGGATTAGTCAGGCGCTGTTAGCCAGACAAAAAACGGTCACGTAGTCAGAGCAGAAATATGCCGTTCATGAGCCTGTTTAGTTTGATCGAAGTTCTGCCAACTACCCCCACGTCATTTCAGAAAGTACACTGCATGTCGTTTTGTTTCAAGTGCAAACTGCATGATGATGATGTAATCTGTTTCTCTGTCACGATTCTAGTGGCGCAAATAATATTTCTCAAAGCAGGCATTACCAAGTTGGAGTTAAGGGGTTTGTGACCCTTATAACATAGAGGTAGCTACGGGATAGAGGCGGTCGCTGCTTCTTTTGTCTGTATTGACTGCAGTCTCGAGGTTCATGTCGTGCTGACTGTAAGTCTCCGCACCATGAGTTGATGTGGTAGACTGGAAACCGCTTTGAATGTTCAATCATAGAACGCTGGGCCTGGATCTCGTTCCAGGTGTGCCTCCTCTAAGACCACCACAGCCGTAGCGATCACATCCTCGGAGAGGCTGTTCATGCAGACATACGTCGCGCTGAAAATGTCTTCCCTGTTCACTTGCGTGATGTTAACTGTAGCGATGATTTTCTGTATTGCCGGTATTGAGAAAATATCAGTAGCTATCACTGAGTTTCCGCCGAACCAGGCAATTTGCACTTTGGCAGTGATGTCTGGTTCTCATGACGATGATATCGACTGTGTTCTAGCACGTAGGAGGATACATCGCGGTGGTAACCACAAGTTATAAAAACTGTTTTGTATTTAAAGAACGGTTTTCTCTGAAAATCGATTCTATCTACAACTTGGACACTAAGATTGACGGGTGTCATACATATCATGCCCTGAAGAGAGTGTGATTAAATCGTTTGATCAGATTGTCTACCTTAGTAACGAAGTACGACGACTTATAAGCAAGAGGAACGGTTTACTTGAACGAAGCCGGATGGATAACACTGCGGTATATGGCGAAATGATCCTTCACGCTTTGGATCTTAAAGACCCTTGAACAGGCAGCGACATTTATCTTAGCTGTTGTGGCCGTAATGAAAGTGCAACAAATAGTTTATTCAGTGTGACACCATGTGTGATCAAGAAATACTTTCGTACGTCAGGGTTCGTTAGTTTCGGAGCAAAGCTGGAATCATTTCGGTTTGGCAGGCCTGCCAACAACAAGAAAATATTGCAATCAGACCAGGGGCTCCAAGGGAGCAGGGCGCGGAATTGGGGCGGAAAGCTTTCTTTTAACAGCGCACATATACCCGGGGGGGGGCGCAAACAACGACTGCAAACAGTCCAAATCTTCTTCGTCTTCGACCCCGTTTCCGATATCCGCTATCAATTCCGCAGACTGGCTCTTACAGCTGCGGACCCAGTATTCATCCTCAAGGGTGAATCCGCATTTACCAGCTGACTGTCAAGCACTTCCGGTGAAAGATGCACTGAAAAGAACATTTGGTAGTCTCGCCGTCGGCACTTTGTTCTTTTCTCTCTGCCAAGGGCCGAGGGCACTTACAGTCGTGTCACGAACGCGCTCAGTTACCTCTTCGATCGGTCGTTTGTGGTCCGGTACAACTGCCTTTGCCTGATTGCAGCCAGTCGTCGCTCATTGTTGAAATATTGCCTTTACTGTAGCAGTAAAAGACACGTCATCTAAATCTGATATAGTGTTTCTACCAAGTCTTCATCGCCAATCTGATCATCTGTGCTGTTTGGCTTTCCTGTCGGTGGTACTCTCAAATTAAAGAGGTTATCTTATTTGCAAAGGTACGACGAACAGACCTTTTAGATTGTTAATAAGGAATTTTTATGTCACTGTTGCACCATTTTTTACCTCTGCGACCGTAATGGACGACTAACTCATAAGCCCCGATCACGTAACTTATGCATGCAATATTTTTAAAATTTAAACCATAAGCCCTGTTGATTATCCTTTTGTAATTCTGAACTACATTTTATAGCATTTATTAACCTGCTTTTGCTTACAGGTTTGCCTAAGTCGCCTTCCTTTGTACCATTGAGCTACATGTTTTACCAGTACAAAATTTTCTATTAACTCGTTTTTTACATTTCTGGTATATGCTTGAAGTCACTGCTCTTGCTTTGGTTAGTCATTTTAAACTGATGACATTCTGCATGCCTGAATATTTGGGTTTTAATTCTACTTGTTCATCCTTCTTTATGAGAGATAACTCTTGAACACAGATGTGTGGCCCACGTCTGCTTCCGTTGTTACTGTTTCATGTTTTACTCGTGGGTTGTGTCGCAGTGCGCGGATGTTCGATGAGTTTTAATATACTATCGATTATTTTAATGAAAAACGCTCTCTGGAATCGCTGAGCTTTTAAGGCCTTGTCTATGAATTTCTGCTTTAATAGACAAAGAACGGTTTTAAGTCGGTGTGCGTTGAGAAAATCGAGTGCTGGAGTAAATTTGGTTTAGCAAAACGATGTACATTGCATTAGTAAATGGAAATGCGGTAGCTCTTCTCTTTCACTGCGACTCGTTGGTTCCTCCCCACACCCCCGAGTTTTCGGGGCAGCGTTCGAAATCCAAATTAAAACGTGAGGTTCAGAAATTGCAAAGCTACCATATCGTAGCTACCCCGGAACATCTTGATTATTATATATCTATACGTTCAGGACTGTTCTGTTTTCTTGGTTGGCAGATTTTTGCTATTACCAATGCTGTGTAAGCGGCGACAACTGGCGTTCTTTTGTTCATTGTTTGCATTGCATCAATTGATTTTAATAATGCTAAATCATTATTTGTTATCCGTGTAAGATTGTGGTGCGTCGCGCTTGCTAACCTATGGAGATGAGCCTTAAGAAACAACTGGAAGACGAGTGGTTCAGCATCGAGCACCTTACTGCAAAATGGACCTCTTTGCAGCAGAGCCCCCTTTATCGACGAACTCCGATTTTAGTCGACTGCTGCGACGCGTTGGAACTGGCTGATTGCAAACTGGACTTGAAAATGGAGTCGTTGCAACTGGGAGGCAGCTATAAAATGCGTGGTGTGGTCTGTCAGATGGATGTGCTTCGACATGAACTGTCGGCCGGCGGCTATCAAGGTGTGGTCACGATGTCGGCCGGCAATTATGGCATTGCCCTATCTACCTATTGTAAGCATTATAACATTCCGTGTTGCATTATTATG